GCCCTGGCCCGAGACATTTGGGGCAGGTCTGGCCCGCCCCGTCTTGCAAATGGGGCGGGTCCGCCCCGCCTCGCCTATACAATGGGGCGGGTCCGGGTATTAGTATTGACTCGTGCCGCCCCGACTCGCTTAATATATAAGTATATACATATTTTTTCTTAAATTATACTACAAATACACTTCAACATACATATGCGTGTATACAATAAATCATAAATTCTTTGATCTTATAATATATCAATATATGTGTGTGTGTGTATTAGATTGAGATGAACGATGGATTATCAATGTTTTCTTTATATATAGCATTTTAATACATATATTCAAGTATTAATATGATTAAATAGATTAACTATTGAAGTCTAAGTGATTTTTCCTTAACTTTTGAAATTTCTAGCGTATCGTGAATTTGATTTAATATATTAATTTTTACTAATTATTTAAAGATAAACTTTATGTAGATTCAATTGGTAACAACTTCTCACAAATAAAAATACATAATCGCTAATTAGGTTACGGCGGGGCGGGGCGGGGCAGACTTGCCCCGCATGGGGCGGAGCAGACTTGCCCCGCATGGGGCGGAGCAGACTCGCCCCGCATGGGGCGGGTCATGAGTCAACAAGTTTGGACCCGTGCAGTTCACGGGCGGAGCGGACCTGCCCCGTCAAGTCACGGGGCAGGTCTGGGTCTTGCAGTACCCGCCCCGCCCCGACCCATTGCCATGCCCAGTTACAACAACAACAACATCCAAGCCTTAATCCCAAAATAATTTGGGATCGGCTAACATGAATCGATCTATGATAGCGATGCCAAACAGAGAAGACGGACAAGAAAGGGAAGAACAGCTACTTGTAAGTCTTATCAAAGAGAGGAGACTGCTTCTTTGCCTATTTCTTGTCATTATAATATGTTTATTATATGTATGTTTGTTTTCTGTTGTAGATTATGAAGTGTATTGTTAAAAAGGAAGTGTGTTTTATGTGTAATGGTAGCATTGTAAACCTTGATTTCTAATGATGAACCCGCTTTTCTTTTTTTGAGACAAACCTTGATTTTGTTCCGGAAGATCGCATTACTCTACCAACACAAAAACCCACTAAAAGGTCTTCAAATGAGGTTGGTGATGCAAGTTCTCAACGTATGATTGCATTACGAGATGAAATTACAGAAAATTTGACGTGTAATATGAGGCAACGTCATTGATGGTGTATGACGATTGCATGTGTTCTATTATGTTTTTTCTTTGCTTAATGTTTTTCAAACAAGTAATGAAATCTAATTCATATTTATGTGTATTTTATGTTTCATTTTTATTTTAAATTAAATGCATGTCCAATTGTTAATATACTTTAGAAAATATCGCTCATTCAAAAATACGCTTTTTTAAGTAGTTGTATAAGCTGATTGGGATGGGTGAACGGGAGATTGGACTATTACTGGCGGCCCTACCTTTGTTATAATACGTGTGGGCGAAAATTATTTTTTATGAATGGTATTAAGGATTATATTTCTTCGCCGCATGCGTGTGATGTTTATTTTAAGTCCAAGAAGGTAAGGCACGTTTTTCCAATGAGTGATAATCATGCCAAACAAATAGTCATATATTTGAACTTGTTTATTGTGATAATACCTTCTTAACGGTAAAACTAAACAACAACAATAACATCCAAGCCTTAATCCCAAAAGAATTTGGAGTCGGCTAACATGAATCGATCTATGACATTGATGTCAAACAGAGAGACAAACAAGGAGGGAGGGGGGGGGGTAAGATAAAAATAATAAAGATAAATAAATATAGGATAACAATAACATAAGAATATAAGAAAGATAAAAGAGAAAGATAAAGGAGCATAAAAAGCTAGAAGATAAAAATAATATAGAATATAAAAAGATAAAGAAGATAAACGATAAAGAAATCGAGAAGGAATTGTAGATAATAACATATCCATGATGATACTGATATACTTAAGGCCCACCAAAGGACTTCTCGAGGTACCCTAAAATATGCCTTTTCTAAGTCAATGAACACCAAATGCAGATCCTTTTTTGTGTCTTTATACTTCTCCACAACTTGTCTAAGAAGGTGAATGGTCTCAGTTGTTGAGCGTCGAGACACAAAACCAAATTGATTCTCCGATGTTTTCACACTTTTACGAAGTCTTTGCTTAACCACACGCTCCCAAAGTTTCATCGTGTGTCTCATAAGCTTAATCCCTCGATAGTTGACACATTCTTGTACATTACCCTTATTTTTAAATAGGGGAATGTGAGTGATCTTTCGCCAACTCAATGCATTTTGTTATTTCTCTGTTGAAGAAATGTGTTAGCCACTCGATGCATTTCCCTCCCAAACTACTCCAAGCCTCGATCCGTATGCCATCCGGGACCACTGCATTTTTCTCATAGCCTCTTTAACTTCTATTGTTTGAATCCTTCTCACGAAGTCCTGATTTACCATACACTCTGGTATAGTAAGATAATCAATACATTGCACTTTATTCCCATTGAACAAGGTACCAAAGTTTGACATCCACCACTCTTTTATTTCATCATCCTCAATTAGTACCATTTGATCAACATCATTTACACACTTAACTTTTCCGATATCTTGAGTCATAGGGTCACAAAGGCCAGCAAGTATGTAGATATCTTTTTCTCCTTCCTTAGAGTCTAATTGTACATACGATTCCTTGTTCACTTTTTCTCTGGCTTCCTTCACATCTTTCTTTGCTCTTCTTCTAACCTCCTTGTACTCCTTTATGTTCTCGTCGCTCCAACTTTTGCCCAATTTCTTATAGCAGACCCTTTTGGTCCTTATTGCTAGCTTCACCTCATCATTCCACCAAGACGTGTCCTTTTTTGTGGCAGATGTCCTTTAGATTCTCCGAGAATCTCTTTCGCCACTTTGTTAATGGTGGACTCCATTGATAATCACACATCATCCACATGTGCGTCATTATCAATACATCATGCATCTTCCTCCAACATTTTGTGTGCAAAACTTGGTTGGAGATTCCCCTCGATCATCCACCACTTTATCTTTGGCTCCCCTTGTACCTTAACCTGCCTCCTCTTTTTACCTTAAAACTCAAGCACAAGCATCATTTGCTGAGTGACAACACTCTCACATGGGATAACCTTACAATCAGTGTAGCTAGTTCTCTAAGTCGTTTGTACTAAAAAGTAGTCAATTTGGGTATTATTAGCTCCATAGGTGACAAGGTGAGAGTCTCTTTTCTTGAACCAAGTGTTCATCACTGCTAACTCATATGTCGAGGCAAAATTCAAAATGTTCTTCCCCGCTTCATTTCTAATGCCAAAACCATGTCCGCCATGGATACTCTCAAAACCATCACGACTTGGGCCCACATCCCCGTAGAGGTTGCTTTCTATGACTAGTTGCTCTTCCCTTGGGACTCGTCTCACCACTTCCTCAAGATCCTCCCAAAATTGTTGAGTGATAGATGCATCCAATCCCACTTGTGATGCATAGGCACTTACCACGGGCACGATCTCATCTCCTAATTATTATCAACTTAATGCTCATGGTGCGATCGTTCTTCCTAAAGACTTCAACCACACCCTCAACAAAATCATGTGCCACCATAATACCTACTCCGTTTCTGTTCCCCTCTCTCCCCAAATACTACAGTTTAAAACCTTCGGGATTAATCTCACGTGCCTTTTCTTCAACCTACTTAGTTTCTTACCTGCACATTATGCTTATATTCCTCCTCTTCATAGCCTCGGCTATCTCAGATGATCTTCCCATAAGAGAGCAAACATTCCATGTCCTAAAACGCAATCTAGCACCCTGCCTTCTCTTCTTCACACCACATCGACCCCCATCGTGCCCTTTCATATTTGATACCATAAGCTTGACCAAAGAAAAGCTAGGCTAATTCCTGAAATATAAATAAATTATACTCCGTAGGTAAGATATAGAGCTACTCTTATCAATTTGACTTTTTAGAACGCGATGGGAGTGTTTGTCATTTAGCGGTTAACGAATAACAGATTAAGTAAATAGTTTGTCAATGGCGGATTCAGTCAACAGATTTGACTAACGAAATAAGTTGGCGAGTTGGCAGAAGATGTTTGGCTATTTGGCCATAACAATTACTCTCTTAATTACACATACAATGTTTTCCGAAAATGTTTGGTCATAGCAGAAAACGTCATATTTCAAAACTCTGACCCAAGACTCTCGTATTTTCAGCGGTTTTGTCCAAAAATGTTAGGGTCGAGTAGCTATTTACCAAAGAAAGTTTTAACTTATTAAAACGTTAAAATGGGTCAAATCGTCATTTTTTTTTGAAGCGCCATTTTCCGAACACCCCCAATATAATACCATGTGTGAGTGTGGTATCGATGCGAAAACGATCCATACATGGCGTTTTTGTGTGCCGTGTGAAAAAAAAATGATGACAAATTGAAAAAACCGATGAAAAAAATAAATGAGCGACGATACAGTCCAATGAGGAGTACCTAGCTGCACACTGATCTGAAGCGCAAGAGAGTCCGAGAGCGAGGAGGTGATGACGAGATTTTGAACTTGAATGCACGGGAAGAAGGGATAAAGGCCCCCAAAACCGCTGACTAAACCCGCTAGCGGAAGACCATCATAATTATGAATGTGTAAGTAGTGTGATGCTCCAGCGTAGCGTTAGTTGTTAATTAGCATATGCATGCGTAAGAAGACAAACAATGTTAATGAATATAGATATGTATTTCCATGTACGTACGTACGGACTAAGCATTTTACAAATGACTTGCGCTTCATCTGATCTCACTCTCAGTTTTCAACTTTTCTTCCCCTTTGTCACGCTATTTTTGCACTACTCTTTGCGTTGGCAGTTTGCTTTCCAGATAACTTCATTAAATGACCCTATCCTACCTTCATCCAGCCTGGCCTAGCATCCCAGCTGGTAGACGTAGTCATCTCAACTTTTGCTCTATATATAAATTAACATTCATAAAACCTGAATTACCATGTATGTGTAAATTTTAAGCCCAAATTAAAGAAGTTATTATGCATATGGCCATTAATTACTGTATTATAACTTTGTAAGCCCCATTCTTTGAAGATGAATAGATTATCCATCACTTACTAGCCTGCTGCTTCGACAAGGTCGATATGTCTCATAGAGCTGATTAGCTGGTTAGTGACTTGTTCATTTGAAGAGAATTGTTACTAAAATTGTGGGTCTTTTTGAAATTGAAATTCAAGAGAATGAATTTGATTCAAACTTTTTTGGTCAGTAGTATTAATGTGGTCATGTCAACACATTCCTTTTAATTTTATTTGATCTACGATTTTATATATCAAATTTTTGATCTAGTTTTGCACTTCAATATTTCAAGAGAATTTTTAGCGCAATTCTAAAATATGTATACACTTTAAATGTTAGTCAAACTTCGTAAATTATAAGATTTACTAAGAAGAAGAATTGGTTTAAGAATAAAAAATGTTGGTCAGATAAAATAAGTTGTGTGCGTTTTAGTCGTATCTAGCTTAGTTATATAGTTAATTATTTCATTAAAATTTCTCTTTGACTATCTTTTTTGTTTTTGCTTTTTAATTTTCTATTTTCAAACATTAAAGAAAATCTGTTTTCAAAAGTAAAAACAAAATTATGAAAATATCAACCAGTGGTTTTAAATTTTTCTTACCCTTTTAATATTCCATAAATTAAATAGGACTACGTTTTAGTCAACGAACTATGAAATAAACTGATACTCCGAGTATATAATATCCTTCGAATTGAAGCTAAAATCATAATTCATAAATAAAATAAAAGAAGATTATAAAAGCAGGTTACAAAATCATAATTCTCTTATCCAAATGATCTTCACATTATAAAATTAAGCAGATTGATTTATTTCTTGATCAGAACATTTTAATCGTTACGTTACGTTCTTATAAGCTTGATCATCACCATGTCTCTTAATTAATTAACTAATTTAATCTGTAAATCAATCAGGATGTTCGAGCTCGTGTTTTTCTTTTCTTTTCTTTTGCCAAAGCTACTACAATGCTTATTAATTATTTACTCAATAACTAATTAAGGCTTGTTTGGTACAATGTTTTTAATTGGATTATAATTTATAGACTAGTCTGGTTTATCTAAATGTGATTGGATCTAGTCTGATACGCTTAAGTCGGATCTGATAGATGTCTGGTGTATGTGTAATTTATTACTCCGTATCATCTAAGTCCAATTTGGTATGATCCGATCTGGTATGAGACCAAATTCAATTCAATTAAAACATCTTTTTTTGATTTCACTGTTAAGAGCGATTCAATATAGGCGAATTTCCTAACAGTAGTTCAATGCTTATATTTTGGCTAAATTTCAACATAAGGTACTATATTTCTCCTTAAATAGAAGAAATTAATGTCATCCAGAAAATGTATGTCCATGCTTTGGCATTATCATACATTAATGTGGTAATATTATTGTCATAGTAAACAGTGCAAAGTATATAATAACTTCCTTTACGGGAAATAATGTGGTACTCGTATTTTAAAATTTCTCATAGTTTTACTCATATTTTGAGTATAAAAGTACCAAGTCTAACTTAAGTGAATTTAAGGTTATCTAGTAAAACTATTTTGACCGGAATTTCAAGGTGATATCACAATGAACCAATTAAATGTATTTACGGGACCAACTTAATTAGTTCATCAATATAATGGTTCAAATTGCATATTTGCATCAATATCAATCTGTTATGGTATCATTTATATGTTTAGCCCATTCTCCTTGATGATCTATTGGCCAGGTTTGGTGCTAGCTAGAAGTGAAAATCATGAAACCATTAGAGTTTGATCTTAAAGCTCTTGATGAGGAGCCATCTCAAATGAGCAATTCTGCCATAAACACATCTAACAAATCCATCCATGGCCTATTCTCTCAACTCTTCCCAAATCCCACAACATCTCATCATGACCAGCCAAGTTCAGACCCAGTTTCACTTGATATATCTCTCAGCTTCAACTCTACAGCCAGCCCTTGTGATGAAAAAGTTGCAGACACCCAAAGAGAAGGGTCAGCCTCTTCAAGAGCTTATACCTGCAATTTCTGCCACCGCAAATTCTGCAGCTCACAGGCTCTTGGGGGTCACCAGAACGCCCATAAGAAGGAACGGTTTATTGCGAAACGAGCAACCAGAAGGGTTCTGTTCTCATCCGCTCCTCTGCCGAGACGGTCTAATAATAATAGCTGGGGTCGTTTTGTTTTTGCTAGATATGCAGAGAACAATGAAGATATAAGGACTGCATTTCCGAAGAAGGTTGATCAGTCTCCACTTGATCTTACATTGAGGCTTTGATCCATATAAGAAGACCTTTGTTATTACCTGGTTTATTAGTTGGTTAGTCATCTGCAGGTTATTAGTATATTCTTGAAATTGGAAGGTGAGCTTGCCTTGTTTCTAAATTCAAAAGATGGTTGGCATTGCCAAGTAAAATATAGGCAAATTCTACATAATATTACGATTTTAAATTTTTAAATTAATAAATAACCATGGGGTAATGAGTTAGACCAATCAAATATGTTGCAAGTACGGCTCATTTATTTGTGAGTAGCACTCACCTTTCATAAATTGGGGCTAAAAAAGAATTATTGCCAATTACTCAAATTCCTAAATAGGACTATGTATAATTTTTTCCCTAAATATGACTGAATTACACATTTACCCTTTTTTTTCTCTCTACGTCGGGTACGCGCATCTCTTTCTCCCCTGTGCATATTCTTCTCTCCCCGCCTTCCCCTCCCCCCTACGCACCTTCTTATCCCTTCCCCACACATCTCATTCTCCTTCCTTGCACATCTTCTTCTTCCCCTTCGCACAGCAACAACCAAACCTAGATGCTCAATCATACCCACCGCCGTTGGTTATGCGAAGTCCGCCGCTGTCGCCGCCAAGGGCATTCTTCTATTCTTCGAAGGTCTGGTTCTCTTCTCTGATTGTTATCCCCGTTTTCCTCCCCTCTTCTCTTGGTCTCTCTTCCACTATTATATTTTGTTGGAGATGTTGTACTTCTTCTTTGGTTTGTAAAAAATGCCAAGTTCAAATCTGAAAATGCCATCAAAATGGCATTCTTTGTCTTCAAAAAAATTGTGTTTTCCTTTGCAAATGCCATTAATATGTCATTTTGATAAAAATCTTGGCATTCACATCGGCAACGCCCAGATCTGGAACTGAGGAGGTCAGATTTGTAGCAGTAGATGCCGGATATGGTGCGACGGTGGCTAGATCTGCAGGGGCAGCCTCCGACGGCCGACGGGTGTTAGAGTTGTCCAGATCTCCGGCGACGCTAGCCAGATCTGCATCGGTGGTGTCCAGATCTACAACAGCGGTCTGTTTTTGTGGAGACGGAGATGCCCGAAAACTGACAGCGAGTGGCGGCGACCGGCGAAAGGCGGTGGCTGTGTTCTGGTCGCAGCAATATCACTTCCAAGCATCAAGGGCGTTTTTGTCCAATTACAGATTATTACTCTTGTTTAGGAAATTTTTAGACTTTACTCCTATTTTGGAAATTAAAAATTGATTTACTCCTATTTAGGTAAATACCTCGCTAAAAAATTATGAGAGTAAGAGTATGTTTGGTACAACTAGCTGAAAAGATACTTTTATGAGCTTTTTAGTAACTATTAGCTTTTAGTGACTGAAAAGATCTTAAAAAGAAAAGGTAGTACATGTTTGTTAAAAAGTGGACTATTTGATTTAGCTCTATTTGGTATACAAGCTGTTAAGACTAATTAATACTAGAAGCAACCGACTTATCTGAGATGTTACTCATTGGCTATGTTTGGCGGACATAAGTTCTTGCCTTCTAGCTTTTGTACTATTTAAAAAGTCTTTAAAAGCTTCTAATTGTATGTTTGGCACGCCAATTTTTAAGAGCTTTTATAAAAATAAAAGATCTTTTTTGAGATGCTACAGCGAGTAGCATCTCAGATAAGTCTGTAACTTCTAGCATTAATTAGTCTTAACAACTTGTATACCAAACAGAGCTAAATCAAACAGTCGGTTTTTTACCAAACAGCTACTGCCTTTTCCTTTTAGGATCTTTTGAGTCACTAAAAGCTAACAGTTATTAAAAAGCTCATAAAAGTGTCTTTTCAACTAGTTGTGCCAAACATACTCATTGTACCATCTCAAAAAGATCTTTTATTTTTATAAAAGTTTTTAAAAATTGGCATGCCAAACATACAATAGTACAAAAGTTAGAAGGCATGGACTTATGTCTGCCAAACATAGCCTAAGTTAGTAAACAATACTCCCTCCGTCTCTTATAACTTTGCCAACTTTCCTTTTTTGGTTCTCCCAAAAACTTTGTCACTTTTCATTTTAATCAATCAATTTGTGGCTCATGTTATTTCTTTCTCCTCTGCACAAATATCTACCACACAGTTTTTACTTTATTATTCTACGTGACGGTTAAACTTGGCAAATTTTTAAGAGACGTAGGGAGTACAAATTAAATTGACTTCTTCCTATGGGGAGTACTTTAACGACGACATTTATGCCAAACATAATACTCTTTCCTGGTCCCTTATAATTTTGCTAAATTTTTCTTTTTTTGTTGACCCAAATTTTTTCTCATTACTTTCCCTTTTAAACAATTACTCGTAATTTGTAGAATCTATTATTTTTCTTTCATCTACTCAAACTTCAATCGCATAATTTTTACTTTATTATTTTACATGTCAATAAAACTTGACAAACTTTTGAGGAATGGAAGGAGGCTCTGTATCAAATACGATAGTATAATTCATATGGCATAAAAAGAAGTATGGCATATTACCTCAAAGATTAGTGCCGATATCCATATTAAATAAAGAAATCGGCCTACTTTCGTTAGATTCACCCAATCTCAGTATCATCAAACGAGCTCAATTGAATATTGAAACAATTGAACCCCAAAAATAAAAGAAAATAATGTAAAAATGTACATGTGTTTAAGATTTGTGCAGAAGACATAAATAATAGAAACCATTAATTAATTGATAAAAAGAAAAGTGTCAAAACTTTTGTGACAATTAAAAAAAGTAAAATGACAAAACTATAAAGGACATTATGAAGAATTTTGTGGGCCTTCTATTTTAAGTGCCCCTGTGAAAAACGGGGAGACGCACGTTGGGCCGGTCCCGCTTATTTGCTACTCGTATTTTTGTTAGGGGAATTCTATTCACAGTCCCCAAATTACTATTACTATTCACTGCCATTAAATTAATTATTAATTAATAAAAGTAATTTAAAAAACTAAATTACCCTTGCAATTGTATTAATTGCATCGACCCCTCGTTCAAATACACCAAAAATGTAAGTTACTTCCATGGAATGAGAAAAGCAGTCAAAACCGTGAAGTAAATTTTGAGGTTAACGCCTCACTACGCTTCGAGGATTACACCTCATGAGCCAAGCTATAGCTGACTGCCTCGATGCATGGTTTTGCTTTTCAAAACCTTGTTCATGGGTTTGGGGTTGAACGGCCCATTGGTAGCCATTTAGACCATAACTCCATGAGAATTGAGAACTAATTCTATTGGCTAATACTACATCCGTCCCTATATAAAAGTATTCATTCATTTTACACACATCTTAAGAGAGTGGGTTTGGTTGGTACTGTTTGGCACTGTTTGGCACTGTTTTGCACTGTTTTGTTTGCCAAAAAAGGAAATGGAACTTTTATTTAGGGACGGCCCGAAAAGGAAACAAATGCTTTTATTTAGGGACGGGGGTAACTTTTTATACTACTTTCATCCCACTAACGTTGGTACATAAGAAGATGATAAGGTTATTAAAAAAATTGAGTTTATGTAGTTGATAGTAAATTGATAAAGTACGAAAAAAGTAATAAAGATTTAAAATCACACAAATTTTACTAAATTTAGAACTCCTATGAGACAATCTTAAAATTTGATGCCAAATACTTCTGGTTCCCATAAAACATTATCATCTTATATTTTTGATTCAATCAAATTAAACTTTGATCAATAATATATTTTTATAGGAAATGTTTTATATTATAAAATGATATGAATGTATTCTTTGATAAAAATACTTTCATAAAGTATAATATTAAAAACTTCCATAATATTACATTAGTCATAATTATTATATTATCTAAAGATTAGAGCCGTCTTTTAACATTTTAATTAAGTTAAACAAAACAAGGTCCTACTTACCACAGCCCCTATATCCTACATCCGGGTGTAGGTACATTCACTCCAACCGATGAAGATAGCCCATTAACTCATATAGCTCAGATTTTTTTTCGATGGCATTTTTGTAATTTAAGAGAAAAATCACGGCTTTCGCTAAATGAGCATTATTGTAATTTTAGTGAGCATTTGACCTATTCTATCGAGTATTAAGAGGCTAACAATGAGCATCACAATCTCTGCTACATATTTTCTAATTCAATTTTTTCCCTATTTTTTCTTTTATTAAAACTTATTAATTTATATCTATAATACACTTCTATGAATTTCAATATGCGAATTTAATGTAATATGATACTTTTGAAATATGCATTGATATGTCATTTTAAAATGAGCATAACATCAGAACCAAATGGGCATACGTAAATTACAAAATGTTCATTGATATGAAAATCGTAAGGTTTGTTAGTTTAACATAATGATTTTCATTGAGCATCATATCAAACCTCCTCTATTAAGAGGAAAATCACGATTTCTGTAAAATGAGCATTAGTGAAATTTTAATGAGCATCAGACCTATTTTTTTTTAGTATTATTCAGCATCATGACTTCTGCTTCATAACTTCTGATTTGCTTTGTTTTTCTTATTTTCTTTATAATACATTTTTTAAATTATATCTATAATAGACTCCTATGGATTCCAATATACGACTCTAATTTAATATTAAACTTTTGGAATATGCATCAAGACATTTCATTGAGCATCAAGACATTTTCATTGAGCATCAACTTTTCTCTATTGAACATTGGAACTCTGCAATTGAGTATCATGGTATGTGCTCTAGTATCTATAATCAATTATTTTGTTAATCTAATGTAATATGATACTTTTGAAATATGCATTGACATGACATTTTAAAATGAACATAACACAAGTACCAAATGCGTATACATAATTTACCAGATGGGCAATGATATGAAAATAATAAGCTTTATTAGTTGAACATCGAGACATTTTCATTGAACATCAAACTTCTTCTATTGAACATCTAACTCTTATGTGAATCTCATATGATACTTTTGAAATATCCATTAATATGACATTTTAAAATGAGCATAAAACTAGTACCAGATGAACATACGTAACTTACAAAATGAGCATCAAAAAATTCAAAAACTCGTTTGAATTCTTTAATGTGTTTAAATGTTCATTTGTGCACATATATTATATTGACAAATATAGTAATTTTATATTAAACATAATTTATAGACTTTCATTCTGAAATTACAAATATAATCGGGTTCTTTTTATAATGTTTACCCATACATATTTATTTTTCACTTTACTCATTTCAGTATAACACGAAACTCGTGTTAGTAATTAGCACATACTCCCTCCGTCCTATTAGAAGGTTCTCATCCACTATTCTCATGGTCAACTTAAATCATTTTTAATCTTTTACTTTATAAATC